CCCCATCGAGCCATTGATTGTGCCATAGAATTAGAGCCCAGGGCAAAATTAGATGCTGGATTGCCTGGAATTGGTTATTATTAAGAAGATTAATTGTGGAAATGGTTGGAGATTAATGTTTAATATAAATAAAAGAGAAATGAAAAGAATTTTGAAAAGTGGAAAGTGGAAAGTGATACAGAGCACCATCTAATGGTCAAAGATTTTTTTCCCCTACAAAATTGCATGCAAACTTACTGGACTTGTTATGAAATAAGAAACAAATAAAATAATAAGAACCCCAGAAATTAAAAAGGGGGGGGAGAAATTTTACTAAGAGGATTTACAAATGCAATTCCCTGGGACTGTTGGGGGTTGACTGTGATAAAAAGACAGAATGATTAACGAGAAATAAAGATAAAAGGAGACTTTTGACAAAGATTGAAATAAAAGACTCCGAATATTAATAATTTAACTGATTACAAAAATGGAAGAAATAAACAAAGACTTTAAGTTGGAATTACAAATGGTAAAAGGAATGATGAAAGAAAGAAAGGAATTATTGGAAATATTGGAAAAGAAAATAATGGCGATGGCAGAAGAACAAAGAAATCCTAGCGAGGCAGAGTTAAAAGAAGAAGAAAGAAGTTCAGACAGACATGGAGAACAAGAGACATTGCCAAAAAAACATTAAAGGAATTAAGACTATGACATTGAGGACAGAGTTAATAAATAAAAGAGAAAACGCTCCCAGGATTAAACAAAAGAAGAAATTATACAAAAGGAAACTTCAAAAGAGAGAACAGGAAAGGGGGGGGAGAGAAGATGGGTAAAATGCTAGAAGAAAAGATAGAAGACCATCTTTTCGAAAATCAAGAAAAGGGAAAGTTGGCTATTTTCTTGATGAAATCAAGAAAAGGGAAAGTTGGCTATTAAAAGAAATAATAAAGCCGAAAAAAAATCAGAGATAAGGGTTATGGATTCTATAAGGGGGATACCACATGGAATACAGATCGGTGTTTAGTTTAAAACTTGTTGGGAAATATTTTAGGAATGTATAATTTTGTGTGTGTGTGTGTGTGTGTGTGTGTGTGTGTGTGTATGTGTGTATGTCTATGTGTATGTGTATGTGCATATATATATGCTTGCACTGGCATGAAGCCAAAAGCACCGGCCTGAGGATGGCGAGTGGGACCTCGCCAAGATGCTCTTAATCTTACACGGGAAAAGACCCGAACACACCTAGACCTATGAATATATATATATATATATAATGAGCTGTATGTAAAATGTGTTATGAACCCTTTTCTTTTTTGGAGGATCAAAACAAAGGAATGGGAATGAATTAAAAAATATGATTACTAATGATTATAAGTAAAATGAAGACAAAATGAGAGATATTAAGAAGTTATTTTAGGGATTTACTGGAGGGGATATATACAGTTGATTATTTAATGCTGATTTTGTCTGTAGTGCCTTTTATATATGGGAGGAGGGCTTTGCCGTTTTCTTGTTCTCTGTCTTGGATTTTGGTTGGGGTTTCTTTTTGGATTAGGTGAGTAATCTTCTTTCTTGGGAATCCATTGGCTGTTAGTATGTTGGTGAGAGTGTGTAGTTCGGTTTTTTGGTGTTGTTCATCGGCTAAGCATAAAAGGCACTACAGACAAAATCAGCAAGATCCTCCAAAAACACAACATTAAAACAGCATTCTGCACAAACAGAAAAATATCCACCATCCTAAGAAACCCCAAAGACAAAATCAAATTAGAAAACCAAGGAGTATACGAAATCCCCTGCACTGCCTGCCCCACCACATACATTGGACAAACTAACAGAAGAATAAGTGCACGCATCGAAGAACGTAAGAACTCTATCAAAAAAGAAGAACCGACCTCTTCCCTGGTCCAACACCTCAAAGCCACAGGACATGAGATTGACTTTAAAAATACCAGAACTATCGCCAAAACCGAACACTTCAACAGCAGAATAATCAGAGAAGCCATAGAGATAGAAAAACGCCCACACAGCATGAACAAACGAGATGACACCTCCTGCCTACCAGCCATTTGGAAACCCGCCCTCATGAACAGACGAGTACCCAACATGAAGAATGACACCAGACCCACACCCATGAGAGCCACACAAGATGCCACCACCACACTTCCATGTAGAAAACAGACTCACACCCACTCAGAAGATGAGATACGACCACGGACCAGAAGCCGCATTACAGCTGCATCACTACCCACTTCAAACCCCTCCGAGCCATACATGAAGCAAACCGACACCCACTATGAAGATGCAGCACGACCACGAGCTCGAAGCCAAACAGCAAGATCACAGCTCACCAACTCAAATCCCCCAGCAACTAAGACTAACCTGAGCACAACCAAGCCCCCACCTGAACAGAACACGCCTCCAGCCAATCAGAACACGGCCAACCCCCCCAACCAATCAGAACACAGCCAAACCCCCAACCAATCAGAACACACCCCCACCCAATCAGAACACAGCCAAGCCCCCACCCAATCAAGTCACACCCCCACTAGCAGTTAAAAGGAAGAAGCAGCTGCAAGCTCACATCACTCTGAGAAGCACAGAGCCGAAGACAGAAGCCTGAAGATGATGAATGAGACTTCATCGAAACGTTGCCTAGATACTGCCAATCTTACGCGGGAGAAAACCCGAATAACCAAAGATCCATATATATATATGTATATACATACACATACACACACACACACACACACACACACACATACATGTATGTGCATACACATCTTGTAGGCTTTAATATACTCAATCCTAGTATTCAGTATATTTTAAAGAAATGTGTGGTTTAGTAATCCTTAATAAAGAATATCTCAGAGTGAAATGGATTACAACTTTCAAAATTTGTTCCAGACGACAATGAATTATTTACCAGTATTATTGAGCATGAAATATTTCCACCACATATGGAAGGAGCTTTTCATTACATTTTCAGCATTTCAGAGGAAAAGCGTTACTGATGTTTACGATCATGATTGGAGTAATATACTATAGTCATATATCTTACACTAAATCTCTCTTATTATAATGTAAATTAAAATTTCTATTTCCAATATTCTATGTTTGTGTGTGTACATGTGTGCTCAGATGTGTTTATGTGAAATTGTTCTGAAAATAAACTCTACTTTGCGGTGGGCGGTGGGGAAGAAGGCTACTTTGTTTTCCTAAGCATAGATAAAGAAGGACAGGAGGGACTACCAAATATTTATCAAAGAATGCAAAACAATTACTGATGCTCGGACTCTTCAATTAAGACTAGTTGGCTATTTTGATAAGCCTTCCCTGACACTGAGAAGCTTTAGTTCTGCAGCTTTCAATTACATCTCTTGAAACCACATACACCAGTCACAGGATTGTTCATTTCTTAGTGCAGCCCTGAGCTTTCTCCTCCTCACATTCAAAAATGCCATTCAGGTTTTATTCACAGAACTTGGGTGCTTTAAGATGTTGTTTTAAGGAAATAGTAATTACAATGGTCCCCCAGTGATGATGGATAACTGTCCTGTGCAATCCAGATCTAACATATGGTTGCCAATACAAGTGAGGTCAGTGAGAAGATAATGGAGGCCATGACATCTGCAGTAACACTAGATTTCATCCCCCAAACCTGAAACATTCTTAGACTGGGGACTCCACCACAGTCAAGCAATGAAATACAAGTAATACCGCTGGGCAGCAACTATCCCCAGCCTGTCCCTACAATCTCATATAATGGCACTTACAACCAGGTATCAATAAAGAGGCACAATTGCTCCCTGCCAAGATGCCATATACAATTGTTGCTATCCCCTTTCCTAACCCAGGGGTCTTGGCTGATGAAAAAACAAAACTGGGTAAAGAAAAACTGTATCCATGTTACTGTCTGCTCAGGCTTCTTTTATAGCAAAGTGGGGTGGCATGATTACTTGGAAAGAATAGGACCAATAGCTGATTGTTAAGATTTATTACTAAGATTTATGATGAGAAGATAACATGAAAACCCAATGAATAACATTTACTTTCAGATGAAGATCTCTATATACGGGAAATATAAGTTTGGTTGCTTTTTCATGTATTTGTGATGAACTAGAGAAGGATTCTTCCTCTTTGGAAGACAGCTAAAAGAAATAACAGTTCCCAGCCTAATCCCCGTCAACTCATTTCCTCAGTGTTTCCATCACCAATTCCACATTGGCCAACTATCCACACAGCCACTCTAATTCACTCCATTTACTGAGAGCAGATTACTATTTGCCAAGCACTTCCATTGATTCAGCTATCAATTCAACCCATCCAAGAGGGTGCAGTAGCCTCTTTGTTAACCTTCAATACTTACCCCTTAAACATCATAAACACACAAGACCACCTGTTATGAAGCCACAAGTACAGGTGGGAAAGCATGTCCTGTCCCTCTCTTTTCTCACTTCAGAGGAGACCCTGACACTATACCCTGCCACTAATCAAGGAATTCCCATGAAAATAATGTACCCTAAAAATACTTAAGTTAACTCTCCTTGCTTGTCTCTCAATGTCTGTTGTAACTCAGTTCCATCCTAGGCTTCAGGAACCCCCAGTAAAGCTTCCTCTACTGATGACCATGAGAAACTGATGAGAGACTTCTGTAACAGTATTTAGGTTAATATGCAGATTGCTAATATTTTGCAGAGATTTCTTTATCAATAACATCTAGAATAAAATTCTAGCAGTTACATACCTGAGGGTACTTAAGTTTCTCAGTTTTGTCAGTGCTTGAAAGAAATCTTCCATATATCTTTCATCCAAACTCCATTCCCTAAAAGGGGAAAGATATTTTTGCTTTTCAGACTTTCGCTTCAGTGTTTCCAGTTACTCTACTTTGCAAATCTAATTGGCATTCCAGTCCATTTGAAAAGTAATTGCAAATAAATGCATTCAGATTGCAGTACTAGAAAAAAGACCATTTTGTAAATGTAAGATTTACAAGTAGTCTTTGGCCAACAACCGTGTTGAACCTATCCATTACAGCCAAAAGTTGTGATAGCCATTAAGTGAAGCTCCCATTTGATCACCTTACTTACAACTGTGAAATATGAAGGAACTTTTTTATTGTTCTTATAGTTAACAATGTACTTCAGAAAAGTCTAAAAAGAAAAGGGTGTGGAGCTTTCTAAGCAGTAGCTAGGGAGATTATTGCCCTGTAGCTAGGGATCTTTTGTTGATAAGTGCTCTGAATAGGTTGTAAGCTTGTTAGCAGAGGTGAGATCCGACCAGTGTAACCAGCGTTTTGGTGATTTTATGTTTTGCACGAGCATGCACGCTTTGCGCACATGCACACCTGGCATGCGCTACGTGTGCATGTATATCATCGTCAGCTAGCTGCCTGGACAGCTGAACAGCGTTGCATGCAAGTGCGCAGCAGTTGAAAAAGCAGGAAATAAAGGTCAGGAAAGAGCCCAGGCAGGCGGGTCAGCCAAAACCAGTTCTATGTATGCTTTCTGTCTGCTGCTCTTCAGAGCAACCGGTTCTACAGAAGTGGACAGAACCAGTAGAATCACACCCCTGCTTGTTACTATTCAGCTAGTGAGAAACCAGGACAGTGCTGAGTACAAGTATAAAAACCCCTTTCCATACTGTTCCGGACTAGCAGGCTCGAAAGCCTGCAACTCTGATTGGCCCACGAATAACCGATCGTGATTGGTTGCCATAGACTGATGCGATTGGCCAGTAAACAGGCTGCCGCGATTGGCCCTGCCAAGAGCGGCAAACTCAAATCGCCTTCATTGGCTGCCTAGCCGCAACCAGCCCTATATAAGGGGCTGCTGTGGCTGGGATAGTTTGCTCAGATCTGAAGTCACTAATAAAGAGCTGTTGTTGCTATCTGAGTCTTGCCTCCGTTCTTGAACCATCCTCCCAGATCTAACACATACTTTGATCTGGGTCCACCTCTTGTGCACCCATATTTGCAAATACGTAATAAACTTTTGCTAATTTTTGAGCAGGACATCAGCTCACACCTGTGGCTAAAGCAGGATAAGAGATTGAAATGTGGAAAAAGAGCTCTTCAGCCAGCTTCACTTCCTACAGAAAACAAGCAGCTAAAAGCTACAATGAGGAAATTATTCTTGTCTCCTTCTATTAGAGAAAAACAAATCTATATCACAGCCAATGTTTCATAAGAATGAAACAAGTAAAAAACTGTGACCCCATAAAGTTTTGTAGGAGAGTCCTTAAATGTTAATCTTACGGTTTATTATTCAGTATAACAATTTTCTCAGCAAGACTAGAAAATGAGCCCTTTATCAATTCAGTGCTGAAGCAAAGAAAATATTCTCCCAAAAACTGTGTCCAAGTCACACCACTAGAAGAAATTTATTTAATTTCTCAATCCACTCCTCTTATTTGACATGAAAAGTGAGGTAGCGTTTGAATAAGAATCTCAGGTAAAACTATATAGTCTTTCATTTTTAAAAACGACTAATTTCAAAATGGCCTTATTTTAAGGGAAGAGCTTAAGAAGTTTCTAATTATTACAGAAGCACCTTTTTGTGTTATCTGCCATGTAAGATGGAAAGTTTTACATGCAATGAAACTTTCAAATGTAGTTCCACAGAACATTTGAGGGTATTGCATGTAGCTCTTTTTAATTAAAGGGAGAAAGATCCTGAACTTTGCTAAAGCCAAATGAACTTCCAATCAGTTTTAAAAGACTGTCAGTATTGCGCAATGAATAAAATAATCAAGTTTTTTTGTTTATTTAAAATTGTTAGAACCTCTAGATCTCAACAGCAATTGCCTCTCTAATCTTGAGCTGAACATTTCCTGTTGATTATCAGGCTCTTTAAGTGTGAGAGAAATTGATTGATGTTGGCCTTACCAAAGGACAACTGTTCATTTTTAATCAGCTTTCCAGCCCGCCCAGCCCATCTCTTGTCTCCACTTAAGGATTGAGAACCTTCTTTAAATTAGCTGCAAAAAGACATTTATGCATACGTGTAAATTGCATTTTACTTCTCTAGTATTATATTTGAGACAGTAGGTTAGAGAATAGTGGCAGGATGAAAAACTAAATGAAATATTCAACAGATTTTCAAAAATACTTACTCACTTTCTGTCTCTGCATGATTTACAAATGCAGAACCTTTAACAGAAAAGTATTTTAAATTCTGGCAGTGTTGTACACAATAGCCAAGGATCATCAATTCCATATCTGAGTTGCACTGATAATCTATTTCAGTGATACAACCTACTGCATTTTTTATAAAATTGTCATCTTGTATCTCATATAAATAACTCAACATTTCTTTTTGCAATTGGAAATTAGGTCTCCTTTTTGGAATATTATCTTTTACAAAGTCTAATAAGAGTTCTTTAATCTTAGGAGAAATTTCCCATCCAAACTCTTTTTTCAACTCTGTCATTCTTTTTTCTTCATTTAAAAAACCAAAAAGAAAGCGAAATCCTACTGCAAAATCAAGCCCAAAAGATTTATCTCTTTTTAATAGCATCTGCAAATTTTTATTCCAATTTTCAGAATGCGGTTCTTGAATATAAAACAAAGCAGCAAAAAACTCCTGGAAGCTTAAGTGAACGAAACTGTAGGATTTAATACAACCAATGCCCCTTTTGAAGATGCTTTCATTCAGAAAAAGGGAAAGGAAGTCTCTCTGATTTAGAGTGACTTCTTCCTCCTTAAAAAATATTTTCTGTTTCCTGACTCCTTCTGCAGCCAAAAAGCATAAACCTTTCACATTGGATTGGACATCCTGTTTGACTTCTTTATGGTGAAACTTTAACAAACTGGAGAAATACAGCATATAGATTGCAGTAAGAGTGTATGGTGTCTTCTGAAAATCCTTGCCTCTCTCCATCTCCTGCTTCATCACTGTGCAGATGATCCAACTCACAAGGGGAATGACACACATGGTGAAGAGAGTATCATTTTGTTTCACAAATTTGAGAGCTTGAGTTGCTTGGTCTCCATTTTCAAAAAAATTATAGAAATATTCTTGTCTCTCCTTTGCGGAAAACCCAAATATTTTAACATTACATGGGCACTTTAAATATTGATGGAGTTTCTCCAAAGCAGCTGGTCTTGTTGTGATTATAAGAGAAGATTTACGAAGAAGCTTTTTTTTAAACAAACTGATCAAAAGAATTCTCACTGGCTCCTTTTTCCAGGGATCAGTGCAAAGGTAGTTTTCAGGCTGATCAAGGGAATACCTTAATTCATCAAACCCATCAATTATGAACAGAAGCTTCTCTTCATTCTTCAGTATGTTTCGAATAACATTTTTGGATTCATGACACTTGAGCCATTCTTCTGAAATTATCTCTGCAATGCTACTCTCCTCTGACTCTGCATGGACATTCATCTTTCTACAGCAAATATAGAAAACATAATTAAATTTGTCCTGGTAAAGTTGTTGAGAAGCCCAATCAAATATAATTTTTTGGGCCGTTATGGTTTTTCCAAATCCTGCAGCTCCCTGTAACACAACAACTTGTGGAATGAATCCATTTTTATCAGGGTTAAATAATGCTTCAATGCTGGTTGAAGACTTAGCTCGTTTACTGATGATTTCAGCATGTTTCCTTCCCATTGCCAGAATTTCATCTGCTCTCTCCTTTTTAGATGGGTGATAATCTAGGATGATTAGCTTTGAGTATCTCTGGTTGAGGAACACATATTCACCAGGAACAGCATTAGGATCCTTGATCATTGCAAAATTATCTTTAATGTAGCTTCTGTATTCTAAACGAAGAATGAATGAAATTAGAAGTGTGAAAAATAAAGACTGCACAAGACACATAGATTAAGTGTTTTGTCTGTGTACCTTCTCCTTGAAGCCCCCCCCCCCCCCCCGCACCCTCTGGATTAATGTGTTGAGAGAAGTTGTAGGCAAATACTTGTTAATACATTAAATAGTTGTCATTTATAAGCTATTTACTTATTCCCCATAATATTTCTAAGTGAATACATTAAATCTTAATAAATTATATTAAGAATTTTGGGGGGACATTGATAGATGGACATCTTTAAACATTAACCCCTTGGGATATGGTAAATACTCCCAGAATGAGTGTAATTGCCAGCATATTTCATATTTAGTGTGGATTGTTTTTTATTCACAGAGAGAAAACACATGTATACACACACAAAAAAAATACACACACACATACAGAAAGATCATGGATTGTCCGCAATTTAATTATTTTCTGTAAATTTCTATGGAGTTCTTTAATCCAAACTATCTATTTCAAAGTATCCTTTTCAAAATATCTTTGAAAAAGATGCAGTTGTTATTTAAAAATGGGGTTTGGATTTCCCAAATATTGAATTATACAAATATTCATATCTACCGATGATACCAAATTTGGATCAACTTCATTCAGCATAAATTCTGTCTCCCAGGCCCTTTTGGGATATTTATATATAGCATTTTAGTTACTTAGATGTCACTGCCTTCAAAACATAATAGATTATTAGATAGCCGCTATCACTCTTACATCAAGCTGAATATCATGGTATATTATTTCTGAAAAATTGTATTTTGATCCCCTTTTTTATGCTAAATTGATGCAATGCAATAATCCAGGTGTAACATTATTATTTTTTAAATGGTGTTATATGGAAGATTTGGATAGATGCTTGGGGTTTTTTTATTTTAGACCAATTAAAGAATGATAATCATGAGATTTTATTATTTCTTTTGTTAAAGGATAAATATCTTTTTACTTCAGCATTCAACTGGCAGTAATTATAGCTATAGGTAGTCTTCACATATCAACTGCAATTGGGACCATCATCTCAATCAGTAAGTGAAGCAATCGTAGCTTCCTCCTTGACTTTGCTTTTTGGAAGCTAGCTATAAAGGTCACTAATAATTTGTTAAATTTGTTTAAGATAGCAAAAAACTATTTATGGCCCCAATTAGTCAATGGACAGAAGGATTCATGTTACTTACAAGATTTGAGTAAGTTGTGTACAAACAGAAATTGTGAATGGACAAATATAATAGTGGATAAACTCTGCCTTCTTGGGGCATCATTTTAGATGAATTTCCTTACTTAAACAGAGAAACAGAATGACACGGGAAGACAAAAAAGCAGTGACAGTGGAAGTGACTTTCAACTTCCTGCTGGCTTCCCCATTGAGTTTCCTTTTGAGAAGCTGGCAGGAGCATTGGAAACCTTCTCTTCTCTTCCCCTCCCCTCCCCTTCTCTCCTTTTTCATGGTCAGAACTGCAAAACCACCTGGAGTTTTTCCCATTAAGATTTTTGGGGTAACTAATGTTCACAGCAGTTTGCATAGAGCAGGGATGTCAAACTCGCATCGTCATGGCGGCATCATGTGACGTAACTGGGCATGGGTATGGCCAGCACATGATGCATCTGGTCCATGAGCTGTGAGTTTGACATTACTGGCATAGAGGGAGAAGGAATGGGGAGGAACTGAATTAACTTTACATATAATTTCAGTAATCCTTTGAATGATTCCTCCCTTACCTGATGAATGTTGGTGAGCATCAACATCTGCAACTAAAGATGAACTTGAGTTAGTGAAATACACATTATAAAAATAGGTAAGTCATAGAGCATTTTTTAAAAATAGGTAAATGCATGGGTTTATAACTTCTATGAATGTCTACATATATAATGTAAATTAGATTTTTTACCTAATAATTCCTATACTTTCCTATATATTTATTTTCCATTTTCTCCTTTTTCTTGTACAGGCAGACTTTGTCAGAATGTTCATGAACTAGCAGAGACATGGTAACAAGGTCAGCCAATGAATGGCATAGGAACAGATCAGCCAATGGGAGCTGAATTGGAAACTGAGTCTGGAAGGAGTCTGGGTGTGGCTTAGCTCTGCACTCTTAGCTCTGAAGCTGCAAACTTGTCTGCTCTGCTGATCTGAACTGAAACTAATCTCTCCTCTTTACCACACTGGAAAAATCTGCTGTTGGTATTGTAAACTTTACTTCATGTGTTATTATGTATATAAAGAAATTAATGAATCCAGGACTTCCAGTGGTGCCCTCCTCGCTGACAGACCGGAGACCATGATCATTCGTGGCTTCGATCCATGTTCTCCCGTTGGAGGACTCTGAACATCAGCTTTTGAGGCCAGAGCCACCCTATCGTGGTGGTAAAGAAGGGGGAGACTGCCAGCTGAGTTGAGGAGAGCCTCATCTCTCCTCCCTGGCTAGGCAAAACTCTTCTCCAAAGGCGGGCTGTAGTGGTGGCCAAAATGGCCACCCTGAAGAGAGAAAGAGCTAACCGGGACAAGATTGTGCAGGAGCGGTGAAGAAGAGGACAGCATGAAAGATGGGCTAATCAGGTGCAACATTTAAATACAAGATACCCCAGAGTTAAAATCTTAAGGAATTTTTAAGAGTAATAATTACAGCGGCGGCCAGAGAAAGTGAAGAAAATTTTTTTGACAGCTGAAAGTGGCTTTGAACCTTGAAAGGAGAAAGCCAGAAGAAGAAATTTGTTTAAATTGAATAAATGTATAATTTTGGCACTAAATAGGCATAGCTAAAGCTGAATTTGAATGTGTCAAAGAAAAAACAAAAAACAGTAATTGATATTTGGACTTATTGGAACTTTGAATTTTAAAAGCCCTAAATAGGGACAAAAAGCGGGGGGAGGGGGGGAATTTGGACATAACAGAGAGTGCCATCTAGTGGTAAAAGAAATTACTTGTGACTTTTTATAACCTGGCTCTTGTAAAAGTTAGACTTGATACAAAGCAAGTGAAATTTTGTTACAATAAAACAGAGACCCTGGAAAGTGAAAGTGGAGTATTGAACATCAAAATAAAGAAAGAAGCAGGGATTGGGATTGGGATTGTTTGGTGACTTTGTCATAACTTAAATTATGGATATTGGATTATTTGATGAATCTGAGAAAGCCTAAAGAAGAATTAATAAAAGCTGATCGTTGGAAATAAACTCTATAGATATTGGTTGAACTAAATTACTGGATAATTGTGGACATAAAGAACAAAGATGTGTGTGTGTGTGTGTGTGTGTGTGTGTATTAGAAATATTTAAAAATGGCAGAACTTTTTTGGAATTAAAAATGGAATTAAGAAATATGAAAGAAATGCTACAAGAAAGAGGCAAATCATTTGGTTTTGCCTTACAATTTCTAGAATATGAAGAACAAGGAGTGCCAGAAGAGGAGGAGCTGATTAAAGAAGACACCATCTTTAATGAACAATTAGAGCAACGAACATTAAAGTGTAGCAGGGAAAAATGGGAATTAAAAACTGGAGATTTGAGAAGGTAAAAGGGTAAAATTTTGAAAACCAAACAAAGTAAAAGGAAACAGCAGAAAAGGGAATTACAGAAGGAAGCTATAAGGAGGGAAGGGCAGTGGTGATATTCTACCGGTTCGGCCCGATTCGGCCGAACTGGTAGCAGCGATGAGCAGCAGAGACTGAACCAGTTCTCTCTGCCACTCTGCTGTTGTGCCCACCCACCCGGGCTCCCATACTCACCTTTATCCTCTGAATATGAAGTGCAGCTGCTTTGTGCAGCACAGAAGAGTGTTGCGTGATAGATGATGAAGTGACCAGGATCGTGCAGGCTTGCAGGAGGTGAGTTAGAATGCCTCTCCACCTGCGCTTGTGCAAAGTGTGAGTTTGGTGTGCACATGCATGCAAAGTGTGTGCACGCACACAAACTGTGCCCAGCAAGCCACATCCACCAAACTGGTGGTAAAAATATTTGAATCCCACCACTGCGGAGGGGGATAAAAACTGGAGCAAGAAAAGGAGGGGAAAAGTGAAGGGGAAAAAGAAGTAATAAGAAACAGAACCAGGAAATAAAGAAACATGGAAATCAAATAAAAATGAAAAGAAATTGTTTATTCAAAAGATACAGAGACAATGGTTAATTAAGAATTAAGAAAGGAGATTCTGCAAGGTGATGAGGTGTAGTATAAATGTATTAGAAGTAACAAATTATTTAGAAAGTAGGGAAATATAGATTATCAAAATGAAAGATTGGAACTGATACTTTTTTGTTATTGGAATACTTGTTTTTTTTAAAAACTATACACAGAGATAAATGGAATAAATGTGAAAAAATAGAAATTATAATAAGTTTATTAATTGTGTTTAATGAATTTATAGAATATACTTGAAATGAATTATGAGGTTTGTTGCAATGAGATTAATATCAGTTTTTATGATGAATTGAACAGACTAATTTTTCTTTTTGAAACTATAAATGTTTTTGATGTAATTGAAGGGGAAAGTACCATGCAGAATCTGACTTAAAAGGTATATATGTTATGTAGTTGCTAGGAGATTATTGTTATTAATTTTTAAAGTGATAATAAAAAAGTTAAATGGTTACTGGGACTTAAAGGGGAATTAATTAAATGATATATAAGGTGTAGGGGTGGCACACTCTAATTGGTAATTGTGGGGGAAACTTTTTTGAAAAGTTTGAATTGAGATAGAATTTTTGAAATGATGAAATAAGAATATGTGATGAAATTGAAAACGACAGATAAAAGTATAAAGCACATAGAATATGAAGATATGAGAATTATTTAAAGTTAAAAGAAATGGGTCAAGAAATGAATTGAAAATTTATAAAATAAGCTCTAGTAAGTATTTGAGAAAATTAATAGAATGTATGTAAAGTAATGATAAGATATGAAACTAAATGTGAAAGATGAATATGTAATGAAAGTCATGTTTGTATGGAAATGTGAAAACCTGGAATCATGTTGTTCACTAAAAAAAGATGTTTTTAAAATGTGGAAAACTGAAATAATTTTTTTTACAAAAAAAAGATGTTAATGAATCCTGCTGAATCTGTTATTTGTGTGTGCTTTCTGGAATTTGAATTTCTGCAACAGACTCTGATAGGCTTTGGGCCCAGGACACAGAAAAGGACTGAACTGTAATTAAGCTGAAGGACTGCCTATGTTTAAAAAGGAGATATACAATAATATACAATAAATTAATTCCATTTCAACTGTGTGTCGATTAGGTACATATTTTGTGTGCTTATAATTTATAATTAACATTCTCCTTATCAATATAACAATATAACAATAATCACATTTTCATATAAGTAATACCCAATATATATATTTTTAACAATCTTCTCTTATTGCTTTATATATTCATCTAATCTATTTTGTTTTGTTTTCTAATCATTGGTAAAATAAATCCCATACCATGTAAATATTCAGATTCTTCTTTCCCTTTAATTTCCAATGTTAATCTATTCATTTCTGCACATTCAAATATTTTCTCAATTACTTTTCCCTCTATTGGTATCATTTTTCCAATTTTTGAACAAATACAATTCTAGCTGCTGTTAATACATATATAATGGAATATGAAAATATTTGTATTATTGGAGATTACAATGCAATAGTGGATGTAGAAATGGACTATAAAACAGAAAAGACAAATAAAAAGAACAGAAAAATATTACAAGTGCAATTTTACAAGGCATGAGGAGAATTTCCTGAGGAGGGGGCCCCAGGAGCAGAGAGATAAGAGCTATGAAAAATCCCACAGGCTGGCTGACTGCAGAGAAGAGAAAAGGAGTAGAAGAGATCAGATTACAACCCAGCAAATACTTTCTAAGCAGAAAGACCAGGAACAATGCAGGTGTTTCATCTGTGGAAAAAACAACACACTTGAGGAGAGACAGAAAGGAAAAACTATTTGAAAGGAAGAAAATTATCTGATGGACAAGTTTCTGTGGCGAAAGCAGCTATTGCAATAATAAAGACAAATGTTTGATAGACAGTGGTGCAAGTCAAACAATTGTTAACAATTCTAAATTGTTTTACAGGATGGATCCAACTGCTGCAGATGCAGTAGCCTTGGCAAATGGCCAGAAGGTTAAAGTCATTGGAAGAGGCAGTGTGAAAATTCCATATCTGGAAACAAGGTTTAATGATGCATTATGTGTGCCTGAAATGGAATATAATTTGCTGAGTGTCTTGAGTTTAGACAAGCAAGGATTTGAGACCACATTTGTAAATGGAAAGCATCTCATAAAGAGAAATGGAAATGTATGTGCAAAGGGCATAAAAGAGCATAATCTTTATATGATGCAGGGACAAAAAGTTCAATGTGCACAAACATTTGGGAATGTGGCACAACATGATTCATGTATTCATCTCTTGCACAGAAAGCTTGGCCATGCCAGCTTCCGAGTTTTGCAAAAGGGTTACATTAGGAATGTAAGGCATATTTGGACTGTACAGTATGCAAAACATTGAAGTCCAAAGCATTCCCAGAAAGTAAGAGTAGCACAAAGCAGACAACAAGAGCTCTAGAGCTGGTACATGCAGATTTGGTTGGGCCAATGCAAGCCAGTTTGGGAGGAGCTAAGTATGCACTGGTCACTGTAGCAGGTTTGGTTTTGCTATTTACTAAAGAGTAAAATAGAGGTGCTACAGAAATTTAAGCAATGGGTAAGTTTTGTGGAAAGAAGATATAAACAACAGGTATGTCAGCTGCAAACTGACAGAGGTTCAGAATTCATGTC